GTCAATGAATCTGCTGATTATTTTAATTTTAACTTCATATAATCTTTATTTAATCAGGCACTCATTGAGATTAAAATCTCTTTCTCTTTTTATCCAAAGAGACCTCAGGACAAGAAGCAGTCACAAAAGACGATTAACAAAGACAACAAAACTACACATTGTTCATTTGTAAAATGTCAGAACACGTTTTCCTGGAGCGCCTAGTGCTATCTTCAAATTGTTTTTATCCACAGACCCAAAACCCAAAGCTCTCAGTTTACTGTCATGTAAAACAAAGAAAAACTTGAAATCCTCATATCAGAGAAGCTGGAATCAGCAAAAATGTGGAAAAATGACTTAAATATAAAAATGTATCTGTTATCAAAAGAGGAGGCGATTCATTTTCTGTTGAGCAATGAAACTAACTGATCAACTCATCTGACATGTCACTAGGAAAAGCACAGGTGTGAATAATAACTTTAATTCTGGTGTTGTTCGCACTGTCACAGCGTACTGGGACACTTGAACAGAACCGAGAAAAAGGACTATTTTAATAGAATATGTTAAAACGTTCTCTGAGATATACTCAAACAAACAGAACCAGAGAAATGACCTCCTGGGTAGGTAATAATTCAGTGACAGAAAGGCTTTGTTACTCTTTAAGCTGTCGCCTCTATAAGAATAGTCAGCCTAGGGCTGCTCAATTATGGCAAAAATAATAATCACAATTATTTTAATCAATATTGAGATCACGATTATTCAACACGATTTCTCATTGACTTTGGAAAAAAACTGAATATAAAAAAGTTATTTCAAAACAAGCGTGGTGTTGTTGTTGTGTAGTTAATTCTTTCATACACGAAATAACCCAGCTGGACGTCAATGTAACGTCACAAAGATCATCAAATTTTAGTTGGAAATGAAAATCGGGTTGACGTCAAAACCCAACATTTGTTTGACATCAACATCCAACATTGATCTGATATTGAATTTTAGTAAGAAATCAACATCCGGTTGACGTCAAAAAAAAATTCTAAGATGAGAAAAGACAGTCTTAAAAATATTAGAGATGTGCTTTTGGAAGTAGAGATCGGTTTCTGACATGCTCACATGGTTTTACAGATATAAGAACGTCACATTTTTTTTATCATTTGTTTTTTATTTTTATTTTGTTATGCTTTAGTTATAACAGAATTAACATTGCTTGTATGGGGGGGCAGAGAGAGGGAGGGAGAGAGAGAGGGAGGGAAGAGAAAGAAGGGAAATAAGGTAAAAGAAAGGGTAAGAATTAAGGATATTATGCTTGTCCAGATCATTAGTTTTTGGACTTCTGCTTAACAGCATTTCGAATGGGCGGGAGACGAGTGTTTGAAGGCGCTACAAAGGGTTGCTGGGGCAAGATGTGGACCCTCCAGTTGAATCCTCTACAGCTTTACCCTTTTTGATAATGGGTGGCAGGCAGGTCGGCCCCAGATTGTGCTGGTCCGTGTCTGTGTCTTCAGACCTGATTGGCTTGTTCTTCTGCTTGTTCTCTCGTTTCTTCTTCTGTCCATTGACACATACATGCTTAGGTATTGCAGCACTCTTCTTGGAGACGACAGGTGCAGAGGGGCGGCAGGTACATTGCCAGTGGATGCCTTTGTTCTCTCCACATTTGGGCTGAGGTTTTTTATTATTTTTTATAATTTTCACAGGTTTAGGCCAGGACATTCTCATTGGAGGATCGGGGGGGACAGCATAGAGATGACTGAACCCGTCCACACTAAAAGTGGGACCTCCAGTTGAACGGGTCAGCTTCAAATTGCGCTGGTCCCTGCCTGTGTCTTCAGTCCTAATTGCCAGGTTCTTCTGCTCTCTCTCTTCCATCTTCTTCTGTCCATGTGCACTTGCAGTATTCTTCTCCTTCTCCCACTGCTTTACCAGTTCGGCATCTCTTGGAGTCATTTCCTCGCCAAATCCCCATTCCTCCCACAGTTCTAGAGTGGCAACGCCCGGCTTCTCTTTGGTTTCCTTCATTTCCCAAATAAGCCCGTCTAGTAACTTGAAGTCCTCATCGTCGTCGTCTGTGTCCTTCCAGCCAGAGAAACATTTGGGTCTCAGTTTTTTTGTACCTGTTTTCTTTTTCTTACCCACAATTCTTTGATTGCACTTCCTCCGCTTTTCATTCTCTCTCTCCATCTCTAGTCTCAGCTTTTTCTCATGGATCATCTGCCTCTTCCTATTCAGCTTGATCTTCTTCACTTTTTCCCAGATTTCTTCAGGGAGTTGCTCAATTAGGTCGAGCAGTAATGAAACTTGGTGCTCAATGCTACACAGCATCTCCAGGGTGGTGAGGCAGTTCGGTCGCCCATTCACAACTCTGCAATACACTTTTATCACCTTCAAGCCAAGAACATGCAACATAGCATCCTCGTTTGCTGTTTTTAAAGACTCATGGATTAAAATCATCCTATTGAGATAGAAGGCTCTCTTCTTTAGTTTTTCAAGTTCATCACTGCACTCATTTATCTGCAATGTTTGTTTTTCACCTATCTCTTTCATTTTCTTCAATGAGCTGTCATAGTCACGCTGGACATGGGTAAATGCGACACTTCCCTTGTTGGCCCTATCAATCAGGGACATGTTCTGCTCGCTCAGATGCGCCACTATATCAAATACATTTTCAGCTTCAGTATGTTGTTTCTCTTGCTTCTCAGATTCTGAGCTGTCACTAGTCGTTTTAGAACTTGTGCCCAGTTTTTTCATCTTTTCTGCCTGGGCATTCACCCACTCTGAAGTCATCACCTTGCACATAACGCTTTTGTATCTTTTATATTTTTTCAATGTCTCCTTATCCTTGGCATATTTATTTTTCATGGTCTCTATTTCATCTTGTAACTTCTTAATGACAGCATTCTTCTCCTGTTTTAATGCCTGCTGTTTTTCATAAAATGCTTCGGCATCTGCAGCTTTTTTTTCAGTCCTCTGGAGGTACTCTTCGGTTACATGCTCTGTTGTCGCAATCTTTTTTTCAAGGCATTTTATTTGTTGTCTCTCTGCTGCCATGGCCCTGTCCAGCTTCATAATCTTTGAATTGGTCATCTCCACATGTATGTCATGCACTGCTTTCTCTTTTGCCAAGAAGAGCAAGTGCCTTTTTGGAGGATGTTCAATTTTGTCTTGTTCATTCGCAGACATCTTCAGATCAGGACTGATTCTCATTAATACACAGACTACACTAAGAATTTAAGCAACTCCTCTTTAAGTCAAACGTTGGACTTAAAACTGGGCTGTTTTGACGTTTAGTGTTTATGTATAGTGTTTTTATGCTGTGACATCATCACATTCCAGTGCCTTTGATCTTGGCCTATTCCCTATATGACATCACTTCCAGGTGTTTAGCATTTATGTATTCAATGTTTTTATGCTGTGACATCATCACATTCCAGTGCCTCCTGGGCCTATTGCCCGTCTGACATTGGTTGTTTTGTTTTTTTTCACATTAGTTTTCTTCACATTAGTCTGGCTCTCCCAGACGTAGCTCTGGGAGTGGGAGTCTCTGCAGGAGAGACTGTGGGTACCACAGCAGGTGACATGGGAACCCCCTCAGGAGTTGGCCCTCGTGTTTGTTGCTGTGGCGGAGACCTCTGTCTCGTGCAGATGTGTGTAGAGGTATCAGGTGCTGACGGTTGTGTCTCACCACCCCCCGAGGTACATCCACCAAGTAAGACCTCGGAGTGGAGTGGTTTTGGAGAACAGTCCCAGTTATCTTTTCAACCACCACCTATAGCTGTTCTCCTGGTGACAGGGCAGATTTTTGGCACGGTGACACCTGTCATAGTTTGCAGCATCTGACATCCCTTTCTCATTTTCCTTTAAAGTGAAAGCAATGCTGTTTAGCAGGGCAGGAGCCAGCTGAGAGGGAAAAGTTGGCACCGTGGTGCAGAGACGTTGGCCCATATGAAGTTGAGCTGGGCTGTGTCTACACTGGAGAGGTGTGGCTCTGTAGGCGAGTAGAGTCAGGTAGGGGTCTCCTGCCTTGTTCAGGAGGTTTTTCACAGTCTGAACTGCACATTCTGCTTCTCCATTACTTTGTGGAAACCTTGTCCTTGTCACCATACCTTGGTGTCCTTCGTGGAGTTTTGCTAACACGTCTACCGCATCACTGAAGGTATTACGAGCCGTGTGCCTTTCACCAGTAAGCCATCTTTCACTGTGAGAGTAGCTCGCTCTGGCCAGTAGCTTTTTGTCTGCTTCGTCGTCCAAACAGTACATTAAAGTATTCACCTGATTCTCCTCAGAGCTTAAGGTTAAGTTGCTCGGTTGGCAGAATCTGTGTATCCATTATGTCCACTTATGCGGCTTGAAAAAATCAAAGGGTCCTGGTGGCTGAATGCTAAATGTAGCGCTGGGTGTGTTAGACCCCCTGCGCTCATCCTCACTGTTACTTATTTGACTTGCTCACCGATCTCCTTCTTCTTCATCTCGGTAGACGTATCGTCCTGACGTGGGCTCACTGAATTTCTGACACAATGTCATGTTTTAATAAACATAAGTTCAAGAGACTCACAGGTAACTTCCCATGTTCCCCTTTGATGAACCTGAACCGTTCTATGATCGCCTCGTGTTGCCCGTAAATATAGAGCGGGGCCTCCATTTTAATCCAGTGGAGCCAGAAAGATTAATGTGCGACATTAAAGCACATTTATCTAAAAAAAAACAACAAAAAAAACAGCAGCAGTGAAATAGTCTGACTTATGTTTAGCCACACTTAACCATAAAGGCCTGGTTGATGTAGAGCTGCTGAGATGGTCACTCTTCCTTTGTGTCACAATACTTTGTGAGGCCACTGTTATGTGATCTGTAACTTTGCTGCATTTAATACCAGCACTGTGGACTGGACTGGATCATGGACTGCCACTTACCAGCAATATTAATATAAAATGGGACTTTGATTGTTGGCAGTTGAGTAATTTGGCATCTCTGGGTAAGTCTCTCCACAGCACTGACTGTTCTTATCCAAACTTTTTCTGACATCTAGTGGAGACAGAGAGAAGAGCTTTTAGGGATTAGTGTGTGTGTGTGTGTGTGTGTGTGTGTGTGTGTGTGTGTGTGTGTGAGAAATGATTGACAGTGCTCATATATTTCTTTTTTTGCTACACATGATAGTGTATTTCTTGCAATCAAACAGACATCAAACTCATATTACAATAGATAAATTTCAACTTTATTAATTCACAAAAGGCTCATCCAGTGGTTATAAAATAGAGCATAGTCAATATTTTAACATTTTAACTTTTCAACAAAGACCACAAAGGAGACCAAATCAAAGTGTAGAAACAATGAAGTGCACAACGTAAACAATTAACACTGGTAATTGAAGAAGTGTTAATTTACAAATAATAATAAAATAATTATAAATCAGAATATTTGTATTTTGTGCGGTAGCCTGGCTGCGTAATGCAAGGATAAATTGATTAGTTCAAAGAGCAGATGCATGGTAAACAAAGTTTTACATTCACACAGAGCTTCACAGGGGACAATCCTTGGTAAACCACTTTCCCATTCACTTGAATGGGGGAGTGGTCTCTCACTTTTGGACCCCACTGTAGAAAGACGAAGAGGAAGGAGGATCTGTATCTACAAGTACTGACACATCTGTCTCTTGCTCAAACTTCCTCAAACTGCATCTTGTGCCCAAATCAGACAAATGTCAAACAATCAGGTGACCATCATGTCTCCTCTCCTTTCTTGAATCTTGTTATGTGATGTGAAACACAGACTTTCTTTGCAAACCATAAACTTAAAACTAAAAAAAAAAAGTAGTCAACATCAACAATAAATAACATTCTTTCAGTGCAAAACTACACAAAAAATTGGAAAATACTAAATTTGCAAACATTGCCAAAGAAAACCTTAAAATGAATTGTGAATTTCTGACTCCTGAACACGAACACTCACTCAACTTCAAATCGTTTTCACCACAAACCAGTTTAAATGTCTTGTTGTCCAGTTCAATAGCAAGACATAAAATGCATCCACCTGAATTATTTAAAAATATAATTAATCAGTGTTTCCATATAGGGAATGAATTGATGGATCCAATGATTAATAATGTATCACTGCATTATCACATTACTTCATAAGGGAACTAACAAGCTAGTGTTTGTGTGACATTGAGTAAGAACAGACAGAGAGACGTGTGCTGATGCTTTTATGAACAAAACAAAGGAAAAGATTTTCTGTTTTCCAGTTAACACAGATCAAACTGACTTTTCTCACCTGGGTTCCTCAAATGTATCATTATTACCATTCATTTTTATTATTTATTATTATGGTTCATTTTATTTTTATCGATTCAATTCATTTTACCCCATTCATAAAATGTCTTGAATGAGGTCTATGAAAACATATGAAACTCCAATCATTTTTCTAACAGTCCTGTGCTAAACTGTCATTTGATGCCTCAGCACAGCAGCCGCCAAAAAGAAACTGATACTAATAACGGAGGTCTTGGATAAAACCAGCGCTCAGATCCTGTGACTGTAAATCATTTTTACACCAGGAGCAGTTAAGACATTTAAATGTGACTTTTTCTTAATATCCCAGGCTTGTAAATGGGGAGGGGGTTGCCGTGTGTTGTCTTGGTGACCATTTTGGCATCAAAAAATAAAAGTGATCTCTTCGCCCTCAATAGTATCCTTTTGGGCTGCATAGCTGGTGGTCAACAGCTTTATGAGGCATCAGGTGGTCACAGTTCATATGTGTGTGTGTGTGTGTGTGTGTGTGTGTGTGTGTGTGTGTGTGTGTGTGTGTACTATGTCTGGGCCAGCTGAAGTTCCTCCAGTCCATGTTTGCCCAGGTGATATCTGGCCAAGTCTTTCCTGGTCACCAGTCCAACCACCTGCAGAGGGTCACAAACCAAAAGTGTAACGTCAGAACTACCGTTGTCGTCGTCGTTATCGTCTTGTCAAACATAAAGAAGAGGACACACAGGAAAATAAAACAAGACATATAGGGATAGACGGGAACACACTCTTACCCTGTTCTCATCATCCGCTACCACCAGGTGTCTGAGTCCCAGAGCTCTGAATAGCTTAAACACACGAGGAAGAGATGTTTCCTGCAAACAAACAGCCTCATCTAAGTTCAACTTCATTTATACTTTACCACACTTTACTTTTAAACTTTACCACAAACAAGCTTAAGAGGGTTTTCAAAGAGAGAGAAAAAAAACTACAAGGGACAAGGAAACTGAGAAAGAGAAAAACCAAACTAGACTTCATGAGCCCAACAATTACAGTAGTGAAAAAAATAAACAACAACAACAACAACAGAGCAGTGTAGACATTACAAGCCTGAAACTTTGCATTTAACAATTTACACCGAGAAAAAAGATTCTGATTAACAAGAATTACTTGCGGTTGTATGGCTCTGTCAATCAGTCAAGTTGCAGTTTACATCCATGTCTGTCCAGACTCATTTAATATATGTAATGAAGACTTTTGAAGGAATTTAATATGATGTTGTAGTGAAGTTGACCTTTGATTTTTTGGATATAAAATGTCGTCACTCCATTATTTTACCCTATTTGTGTTATATTGTGTCATAATTAGCATATGAATTTGTGAGGGTCCATAAACATGTTTTGTGAGGTCACAGTGACCTTTGACCAGTAATTTCTAATCACTTCATCCTCGAGTCCGAGTAAATGTTTGTTCCAAATTTGAAGAAATTCCTGCAAGGCTTTACAGAGATATTGGGTTCACGAGAATGAAACAGACGGACGACATGAAAACATAATGGAGGCATAACAGTCCACCAGCACAATCTCCACTTTGCACAGTTCTCAAAACAAACACATGGACTTCTGAGAATTTCCAGATTTCCTAGACTACTTTGAAAATAAGCTACAAAACCTTGCTTTCAAAGCAACTCACGATAAGTGAAATCCCACTGAGATATTGCGTTTTCATTAGTGACAGTCATGGCTGCATTGTGTTTTCAGGTTGTTCCCGTTGTAATAAAATTGTGGCCTTCGATAGGGACCATATATTTAAACATTTTATGACTTGGCATCACTGTAACCAGTTTCAAATTATAATCCTCATAGAAAGGAAATCTGCACTATTGGAGTGCACTATGTCTGTGTGTGTGTGTGTGTGTGTGTGTGTGTGTGTATTACCTGTGGTACTGTGTAAGGTGTTGCGTTCATGAACTCAGTGAGGTCCATCATACACTCCCTCTCATCCTGGGAGACGTGGATGCTCTGGATTGGGGGGAAGCGGGGATAGGCGTCCCTGAAGTCTTTCAACTGCAGCTTCCTGTGGGTCAGCCGGGACCGGGCCAACTCCACAAAAACCTGCCAGGACAGAGCAGGAGCAAAAAGTGAGTGATTAAAATGTCACAATGATTTATCTAAGAATATTGTCAACATCTTCCTTCTGTTGATGATGTTACCTTGTGCTTGAGAAGAACAATGAGTTGAGAGCGGAGGATGAGCCCACAGAGTTTTGCTGGCTGAACAGGAGAGAAGAACAAATGAAGGTGTGATTAATGAAAGAAACAGTTTCTGTTTGCACTGAGGCTCATTTATAAAATTAAACTCCTTTGTTAAACAGTATTATTAGTCTAGGATGCCAGGAATTGTCTTTGAGTTATTGTGATTATGTGCTTCATGTTAATTTTCTTATCATCAATTTACTTTGTTGTACTTCCAAATGTATTAATTTCCTACAGAATGGGAACTCAAAAGTGTATTCCTTATGAGGAGGAAGTGAGCAGTAGCCGCGGTCATAACGGTTTCAAACACATCTCTAAATAAATACTGATCATTAGTAAATAAATAAATAAAGGCATCTTAAGAGGGACCAATTATGTCAATATAGAAAGTACTGTGTGGGAGATATTAAATATTTATATTAATGACTATGCGTAATAAACATAACAAAATTTCAATAACAGCACACAAGAGATCATACAGTACCTCATCACTCCCAGAAACCTGCACGACGACAGGAAAGCCGTTGTGATTGGTGGATGTGTTGCTAAGGGTGTCCACAATGGTTCCCACCTTCTCTATCCTGTTTAAACAGGTGACTGGAGAACTCATCACCTCTCTGGATGGGGGATATAGGGGGAGGAGATGCAAAGAGGAAGAGTAACAGCGAGGATGATGATGGTGACATGACAAAGAAATATTAGCAAATCTAATGACAGAATAAGAAAACGCAAACTGGCAAAAAACTCACACCCCCGGATGTTTTAAATATAAGAGTCATCCAATCAAAATGTCTCTCACACAAATCAGACAGGACCTTACCTGGCAGTCAGCCAGTGGGAGGTGGCAGGAGCCTCCCAGTGTAGGAAGGGAACACTCTGCAGCTTAATGTGGATGTCATACAGACCCTAAAGCAGAGGAGACGGGTTACAGACACGGCCTTTATCCCAATTCATACTGCACACTGTCTGTACAGAGTGTGCTCTATATACTGCACCTAACTTTGGAATTAAACCAGACATTATTTTCATTATTGATTTATGTGATGATTATTTCTTTTGATTAATGCAGGAAATTGTCACATTTGAAGCTGTAATCAGAGAATATTTGCCTTTTTTTTCTTGAAAAATGACTGAAACAACTTATCACAGTTACCACAATAGATACCAATTAATTTTCTGTTCAATTGTTGCAGCTGTACTTATTGTTTGTTGTTTTTGCAGATATTATACAAGAAATAAACACACTTGACTGTTTTATACCAACAGGAAAAGTCACCATAAATATGCACTGTTGAACGCCTGGGAATTTAGAATGACAATGGCAACTAAACTTCATGAAGAGGAGGAAAAATATCTTTTGTCAGATTTATTTTTCTATTCCTCTGGAGCCAGTCCACCACCAGCTACAAGTGTAACTGTAAGTAGCTCCTCCACTTCATTCGACAGTGTGTGTGTGTGTGTGTGTGTGTGTGTGTGTGTGTGTGTGTGTGTGTGTGTTCTGTACATGAAAAACTGTGGGACCTTTTGTTGGTTCCTCCTTTCTGTGTTGAATTCTGTGGTGAATAAAATGGGACATACAGGGAGGTGGGAACAAAGTGTGTCTCTGCCTCTTTACTCACTTCTACAAAGTAGTCTCCTACTATCTTGGCAGTGATGAGGACGAGCATGATGGGAAAGCCGTATGTGACATTTCCTGTAGCCTCCACCATGATGACAGTCAGACTGAGAGTCATCCTCACAATGCCACCTGAGGAAAGCATTGCATTATTACTAGTACTAAACTTTTTATCTTAGATTGATATCAAAAGTTTTACAAAGCATTTAACAGAATAGATTCTTTAAAAAATTAGTTATTATGGATTATTTAAAAAAAAAAAGAGTTTGAAGTGGAAAGACAATGTAGTATTCACAGCTCATTGTGATTGGTTTTTTCATTTCTTATTTCCTGCTACACACTCCAAGCTAAACAAGAACTATATATATGTATATATATATAGATAAATAAGGTTTACAGTCACTCACCTAACTGAGCTGCAGCTCCAATCAAGGCATATTTACCAGGGTCAGCCCAAATCTAACAAAACACACACAGCAAGAGTAAAAACAGCATTCCCTATTTGATCATGTATGTTATTAGCTAAATGTATATATTTTTTATTCATTTGTTATTTTTCTTCTTTTGTAAAGGCAACATTCAGCTGTGAAAACCAGTGTGAATGCCAGCTAACAGCTGAAACAGTGAAATGAGCTGAGCACTGCTCTCAAGTTTAAGCAAAAGGTAAAAAAAAAAAAATTAAAATTAAAAAGCAGGATAATTACAATATGGAAAACACTGCACATTTGTACAAAAGTGAGCTTTGGCAGTAAGTAGCACAGAGGTTTTATAGTTACGTAGCCAAATAACACAGATCAGGTTCAATAAGGTTGTTACAGCCTCCCTAAACACACAGGCTCAACTGGAGAGCAGAACAATATAAAGGATGCCAAGAAAAGAGAACCAGTTTTATTTTAAACATAATAAACGAAGACACCAACTTGAACTCGATCCTACAGATCAAAGCATACCACACTAACCGAGAAAGAGGTGATGGAGGCTAGCAGTATACCACACAATCTCCCCCAGGCTGCTCCAATTAGCAAAGACGGGATGAAAACTCCAGCAGACACCGCCAGGCCGTAGGTCCAACACGCCAAGAAGAAATAGGTCAGAGTGAACAAGCCCAGGGTCAGAGGATTGTAGCTTCCTAAAAATAAATAAATAAATCAAGAGGTGACTAAGAGAATGATTCCATATGCTTCCCTGCACATAGATCCATATACAAAGTGAGCAATGTTTATTTCAGCAAGCTTCCTCTACTTTAGCACAGCGTTACCTGGCTGGTTGTGGAAGAGACTGCGGACACTTCTCTCAGGAGTGTTGAAGAAGGCTGTTGCCATGGAGTTATACTCTCCATCTGCACAGAACAACTAGAAAAAGAAAGAAAATGATGAAAGAGACAAAACAAGAGAAAGAAGGAGAGACACTAAGAGTCCATCTCTCACTGTGCTCTTGTGTCTTTGATGAAGTTTTTAAGTGCCATCTACCAGCTGACATGATTCTAAAACACAGGGCTTTAGCACAGATATGGATCAGTGAAAGATTACAAATCATATTTGGTGTTGTCGTGGATCAGTAGTCAAAAGTGCATTAAATGTAAACATGTCCTAGATTTCAATCTTTCCTTTTTCAAGTTATTTCTGTCTCTGCTCAATATTTCATCTGTCCCATAATGTATCTAATAAAATATGAGAAAAACTAATTCACCAAGATGTAATATTTGCTATTTATTTATGTAGCACTGCCTCTAGTATTTGGACAAGGCAAAGAGTCCACAGCCATGCAAGCAGCTCTGTAAAGCTATGATTTAGCATGCTAATATGCTCACAATGATAAAGCTAACACACTAATGTTAAGGACATATAATGTAGGATGTTAGCATGCTAACATTTGCCAATTAGGTCCAAAAACAAGTTGTTAGTTTTGGACAAATGAAAATGTTGCCCTGATGATATTAACACTCATCCTAAAGAGGGACATGAATGTGACCAAATTGCAATCCATCCAGTAGCTCTCAAAACATTTCACTCAGAACCGTAAATGGTGAAAGAAAAGTGTCATACTATCAGCATTGTTCTCATGACATTTACTGCTGGTAAAGCTTATTGAGCTGAAACTGTACCATCTGATTGAAAATAGAAAGCACTTACGCACTGTGAGAGGGATACATCTTATCTGAATCTGCACGCGTATAATTTGCTAAACCATGCACATCGAACACATAGTCCACTTTAAATATGATGCATGACTGGGCTTGTGACACCAGCTAACTAATTATTGCCCAGTTTTAGCTTTATTACACATCATCATCCAAATCAAGAGAAGCTGACAGGAGATTGTTTTCAGACTGCTGAAAAAAGGTGACACATGTCAGAGGTGTGGGTGTGTGCACCTGCAGTGGATACTCCTCAGTGTGCTCTGGCCCCAGAGGCTGACAGTCATTGGAGAAGTAGATCATGGTGAATGACACCGTTGCCGTCACTGCAGCAACCAACATGGCCTCCATGACTTGCAAACAAGGGCGATGGACGTACCTAACACACACACACACACACACACACACACACACACACACACACACACACACACACACACACACTCAGATGTTTTCCCTCCCACTGTTTTTTTTTTCTCCAATTGCTCCCTTTTTATTTTCTTTTTTTATTATATAGTCCTTTGTTGATCTTTGTTGATCTCAACAATTATTAAAATATATACTTTTATATTTTTATTAATACATTTTTTTGTCTGTCTCCTCAGTTGCTGCACCATAATTATAGATTATTGGTCATTTATTGGAAACACCATACATCACGATGTTAATGGTCTATCAGTCTGCAAGCTTTAGTTACACATATTTATTTACAGTTATTAATTACAGTTATTTAGTTATAACTAATGTAGCTTTTAAGATTGTTTCAAAATCACTATTGTAATTTAATGTTACACAAACATAGACATAATCAAGAGCAACCTCAAATTTGCTTAAATTAAATCTAAAATCAGAAAATGACTGAACATCTTCAGAAAAGAGATGGACTATTTCTTGGTGTTTAAATTAAAAATCAAACCTGATAACAAAAATAATATTAAATCTTCCATTTATTCTTTATTGTTCTATCTATTCTAATTAACAATGAACTCATTGACTGTCAAACTTTTGAAAAAGACATGTTATTCTTAATAACTATGGACATATGCACCACCCAGGGAACCACAAGTGTCAAGTCCGTCTCCCAGTGCTCGTATCTGTTATTGCACCTTGACTATTTTTAATTTTTCAATCACAAGATGTTGATATTCTGAGAAACAGTTTTAATTGCTCACTTGAAAACGTCCTCATTTTCACTTCACTCTGTCTTTGAAAGACAACAACAAAGCTTTCATGCTACCATGTGTTGTTTTTGTTGGCACACGGCACCCACAAGACAATTATCTCATATCTCACCTGACACTTTCTTGAAACATTTCCCTCAAGTTGATAACGATGTTTTTTGTACTTATAAGCATTTGATTCCTTTCTAAACCTTACCTGATCCTGAAGATGGTCAGCCAGTAGTTAAGAACATTGAACAGAGCTCCCAGCAATCCACCTGCACAGGAAAGGGATGAAGAGCAAGAAAATAAAGACACAGAGGTTTCCAAAAAAAAAAAAAAAAAAACACAAGTTAGCTGTTAGGGAAAAGTCGAAATTCTCCTTAATTATACAACTATGAAGTAACAGAATCAAATATGCTGTTAGAAATATGTGAAAGTAACATTACTCATGAAAACAAAAAGGTGTTTTTACCTATAGCTCCCATAGCAATGAACAAGGGAATCTCGTAGAGGTTATAGGCCACACTCTGAGAAAGATCAAAAATACATGTCATGTTTTACTTTCACTAGGGGCATAAAGCTGGAAAAATACATGATCTATAATATAAGTTTCTCACATCACTCTGAAAGCGTCCAAAGTTGATGAGACCTGGGTTTGAAAGGTCTCCGGGATTATTGTGATAGATACTGAGGAAGAAGTTCAGGGTGAAAGTGGAGATCATGGAGGCAAAGAACTGCAGATAAGAACAGAAAAGGGAGGAAAAAACAGAAAAGCTAAAAATCAAAAAGGACAGGTGCGGAACAACAACATTCACAATCTTCATCTATCTACCCACCACTTCATTCTTAATCCAATACAAACCACTTGCTTAGATTTACTCAACAACATTATGCAATTATTAATCATGAGTTTATAATATGGGCACGCGCAGGACGACGTCACTTACTATCCTCCACGTCAGCATCTGGTTCCAGAAAGAAGCTCCCTCCTCCAGAGAGAACAGAACGCCACCTATTGACCAAAGAAACAAAATCACAAAATCCAGTCTTTTCACATAATAGTAACAAACAACAGTGTGAAGCATGTCCACACTAATAGTGGTAATATCTACAGGAATAAATCCTCCATATGTACCAAATGTATAATGCAGCTTTTGCCTACAGCTTTTCTGTCACAAAAACCAGCCATCAGATTTCTTTCCAGATTAAATTTAAGACTTTTAAAGACTTTTTTGATACAACATAGAACATACTTTAGCACCTGTGTTACAATCATACCATCCAAAGTATGTTTTTTTCAGTACTTCCCAGCAGCATATATCCCAGCAATCATTTCTAATGATAAAATGAACGTGACCTGGATCAAGATCTGCAGCATAAAATGGATGAATAATAAATTCTTTTAAAGTTGTTGCTAAAATTGACATTGCCCATTATGAGCTTCCTAGCTGCTGTAGCCAGCAGTGTTTGCTACAGGTCTGATGGTGCTAGTTTCTAGATGTACAACAGCTCACAATCAGAAACATGTTAGAACTAACTTTACTGCTACATTTTAAAACCTGCTGATGATGGTGAGTTAGGCCAGACCAATACAACTGTGCACTTTCAACAGTGTGTTTGTTTGTTTGTAGCTGTATCCAATTAGCAACAGAAGTTCAATTTCTTTCTCAAACCTTAGCTTTGATTTATCCCACAGTTCTCACAATTTTCCAACATTATCATTATCAGTCACATCACGATACACAGCCTGCACCAATCACTGTTTTTCCTTGGAGAACAAGAACTTCAGAGGGAGTTTCCTAACAAGTTTCTAGTTCAGGAATGCAGCCACACTGATATACTGTTGGCTTCCTAGCTAAGCTAAACTGCCCACACAACTAAGGCAGATTAATAACAAAGAACATGTTTATACAGTGCTCCAGCAAGGCAGCTGTGTTTTTACCGACTGGCGCTCCAAAAGCAGCTGAAACTCCGGCAGCAGCTCCGGCAGAAACAAAGTCCCTTTTCTCTGTGTCTCTCCGGAAGTATTCAAAGATCTACAAACACACACACACCAACAATTAGCAGTAGTTATAAATCCTTCTGACCATGGACATTTTTAAAACATGACCAATTAACAGTAATATTTCAAATGGAGGAAATCTCAAATGACTGTTTGTAAGAAGGTAACGCCAATTAAAAGTAGAAATATAATTCGAATTATATATTATACTTCCTATGGCTGAGTAGCCTAAGAGACATACACAGAGCACAGAAAATTGCCACGCATACTGACCTTGAAATCTCTCTTTAAAGAGGTACTCCTGCCCTGGGAGACACCTGCAGCTACAACAGCACCAGAGTGAATCATGGGCCCTTCCTGATGGATTGTGGGTAAACAAAGGACAGGTGTGAAAAGAAATTCTTGGCAGGAATTCAAACATCAAAAAACTTGCACTTACATATCGGGTGAAGTATTAAAGTGGGCCTAAAACACAGCTTGTATCATGTCACTTCATCCTTAATCTGAACAATACAGATCTGACATCTAAGTTATGCATGTTGTATTTTCACTGATGATGGTTTTTACCTTTCCGACAGCAAGACCGCCGACCACTGAACAGATAACGCCACACACTTTCACCATTAGTGTCTGTGGAGGACAAACACACAAAATGTAAGGATAACGAAACAGTGGCTCAAGTACATCTATTAATATGTGCATTTTATGTATGTGTGTGTTTGTGTGTGTGTGTGTGTGTGTGTGTGTGTGTGTGTGTGTGTGTACCTTGAGTCGTACCACCCTGGGAACCTTGACACCATTCAGGTAACATTTTATCTGAGGGATACCACTTCCTGCCGCTATGGGCTGGATGAGACATACGAGGTAGAGGAGGATGAGGGGAAGAGGGGGTGAGAGAAAAAGAGGAGAGTTATATCATAGGTGGTAAAGTTAGTGACTTACAATGTATGTGTATAGGAGTTATGTCTGAGCGTGTGAATATGATCATAGAGTGGTTTATATATTGTATAATGAAACATCACATGATTGTATTAAAAGCTGACATAGCAAACTTGTGGAAATAAAAACCACGACTGAACTTCCTCTTTAATGTGGTTGCAGGAGGAAACATAATGTTCCCAAACAAACAAGTGTGGCTTACTGGACTGGCAGGAATAGAGAAGCACGTGGATTTTTACATATTTTCAGTATTACACACTGTTGAAGGCAATCTGTGCAGACATGCTACTCCATGATTAGTTTTCATTTCCACATCAGTTTGAATGGCTTGTAAATGAGACGCATAACTAGCCTAACTTCTTCAAAATTCATTCTGACACTCGAGGAATGTTGTCAATCACACAAAAGAGGAAGACAACTGTAACATGAAAGTAGTTGTGTTTCCAAAGTTGATATAATTACAGAAAGGTCAAACTATTTCTCCTTTCAGTCTTACCTCAAAAAATGCAACTATGATGGCGCCCCCCATGACAATGGCAGAGTTGAGAACAGCCCAAAGGAGGAGAGAGATAGACAGGCCGCCCACCTCTGTAAACTTCTCTATGTCTGTGTGGTCAGAGGTCAAGGAAAGGTCTCGGGATCCTGATAGCACGTGGCTGGGATTAGCCAAAAATGTCCAAGCTGTTTAGTGGCCAATTATAACACCAGTTAAATGACAGTTAACACTGGGAGGATGAATAACCATCCACCTTGGCAGATAAGAACAGATGCTATTCTATTCTATCAAAATATATGATGACTTGGTGAGCCCTGTCATCTGGTCCTAACATGTTGGCCTGACTAGGTGTGTCATGTACAAATCTTCAGGATACTCTCTTTGACCACTTGGTATTTGAACCCGGCCAGCTCCTCCACTGCGATGTCTATGAAACAGGCGATGAGGCCGGTCAGAAAGCCGATTAGACCACAGACCACCCAGCGACTGATCTCCAGACAGCGGAAGCCCTGAGGACACATGAGCGTGGAGAGACGGAATAAACAGCAGAGAAGAGATGATGAAATTAGAGCAGATAAAAAAAGAATAAAAAACCGTAAAATATTAAGGTGGTATATCATGTTTCCAGGTGATTCCCAGCCCACTTACCATGTAACTCATCCTCCTCTCCTCCTCAAGAAACAGCTGATTTTCAATGTTATCATAGTCCAGACTCTGGAATAAGACACATAGAGTGATGTTTACTGACTGCGCATGTATACACTATATTGGGTCAATGTCAGCAAGCTTATTGCAAATCAAAAATATGATAATACAAAGCTGATTTCATTAACTGCTGCCAGTTTCCAACCTGCTTAAGAAGATTATTGCCCTTTGTGTTGCCACATGTGGTTTGGGTTTCATGGTCTGAAGGGTATTTTTTATACTAGTGTTACTGACTGATTTGACTGTTTTCATCGTTTCCATAATTGTGGAACATAAGGACTCACAAAAAGTAGCGACATTTCAAATCCTAAACATGGAGGCTTTAGTTAATTGTTGAATGTGATCCAGGGTTTCCAGAATCATCTAATAATCAGCATTCTGCTCTGCGAGTGGGCAGACTTACCTCATATTTAAGTGACAGTAGCTTCTCATTGTGAGGGATCTCTTTGGGCCGCCCTCTTAGGGAGTCCTGAAGGGGGAAAAAATGCAGAAAAAAAAAACAGAGGTGACTACACCAACACTGACCTTTGACCTCTGACCTGTTGAATCATGTGAGGGATGGCAAGGAGCTGGGAACTAAGTTTTTAGAGGGAATCAGACATTTTTGACGGAACAGGAGTGAGCACAGCAGAATTTCACAAGCATTTGAAACAACATCAGAAAGGTATTTTTACACTAAAAAGACACTTCCAAAGACAAAGAGAGGACACGTTTGACAGACTTAAACTTGACTTAACTTGTGCATGAATAATGAAGCAGATAGGAGATGCAGTGACAAACTGCTCCAGTGTTTCCTCCAGAACTTTTAGATTAGAAATCTCAGATATAGAACTCAGGTCTACAGCTAAGAAAGGAAGAGTTCTTGTTAATGCAGACTGTTTAGTGTTGAAGGAAATACTGGTGCAAATGAGTGTATCCCGACATGCATACAAGCCAGCTACAGGCAATTTAAAAGTACTTCAATTCACATATACATGCAATGTTAAGTGGGCTTCTGCCACACAGCTGTGGCCCATCTCTACAGCCACACAATACGCAGCGACTAAAGAAACTAAACAAAGTAACCGACATTCACAAACACACTGGAAACAAACTTCTGTTTGCAGCAAACAAGAATCAAGCAGATCACATGCACAGCGTGACATTCCCATCAGCCAGTGAAAACAGAATTGAATCTGATGGTTTCTGTCACAGAGGGAAACGGGCGCGACGTATTAAACGACCTATAAACTTGGTGACGCCCAAATAGCCTCAAGCATTACTCATATGGTCCTGTACAGTGTTGTCTTGATGATAGCCTAAAGCAGAACAAATTAATTTAAATAACTTGAAGTCATTCTTTGTCCTTATGAGTTTTTTATATTGCCTGATTGATCTTACTATAACTGTGTTAAGAGCCGTACAAATAAACTTGATTAAATCCGACTCTGTTGTAGGCTCAAGCAAACATATTTATGCGTCTTCGGCTTCACATTTACAGCACAATTTCAGAGTGTTTTGATAAAGTGTTGGCTAAGCTGCCTGTTACTCTGAACAGTATCTGTTTTTTTCATCAGTGACCAGTGTGGGGAATCAGTTTTCTGAAAACAAAATACTAAATACCATAAATTCATCATTTGCAATGTTTCAGTGGAAACCATCAGACAGTTTCCAAACACGTGCCTTTTCTCATGCACGCTGGATGAGTCAAGCGTTGCTGTGTCGATTTGGCCAGTTATGAGACCATTTCTGTGTCAGCTTTCCCACCTTAGGCTTTAGCTGTATTCAGCAAGAAGATGCTGAGCTTAAATTAAATAAATTACGGTGTGATTCCTAAACTTTATCTCAGAGTGTACCTCATAAATCGGGCCTTAAAGCTCCATGAGGATACAAAGTCGGTCAGACTAGATTTCCTGTGCCAGACACACATAACAAAACACACATGATGAGCGTGAGGCTAAATAACACTTTATCAACTGTAAATGCCCCATTCAAGGCACTTGATACCTTATGTGTAATTTCAAGATACAAGCAAATTGCTTCTCATTGATTTGGATGACATGAGGTTTTATTATTACGGTAGATGAACTAACTATGTTTCAGGAGTCTAAGAAGTGCTGCTAAGAGTCTTGATGGAGTGATGATCAACAGGAGTGACAGACACAGAGAGACAAGACTGCGATAACGTTTCAAGCTCAGACTTTACCTCATCTGATGTTATCTCCTCTTCCAAATCCACCGTGCTGAGTCTGCCTATCTGAAATATACTGCCTCCTTCAGATGGCTACAGACATCAAAGACAGCAACAGAAATATATATATATGGCTCTGTATAGCAGTTTCTAAGCTGATGTTCATTTAAAATATAAAGTCTTGGGTGGGATCTTTGTGATTTCTAAAAGTGACAGAGAGAAAAGGGCTAAAAACAAATCGTTTTAAGTTGCAAAGTTGGAAATTATAACCATAAAGTCCACAAATAAAGTAATAAAAATTACTCTTGCTGTTATAAAACAATAGGTTCCACTTTCTGATGCTTACAAAACACAGATAACATCTGTATTCTGTAATAGATGTGATTTCAGGTCCAGAGAGGCAAAATAATTAAGTAAAAACTTAATTACAGTCTCTTAAAAGCACTTCAAGTATGGAAACATATAGTAAAAAGGTATGTGATTACATTAACAAAAGAAATGTAGTGCAGTTAGTTTATTTCCATCTTTGGTCCTGATGGTGCAGGAAGGAACTGACTAGTCATGGTGGCTACATTAGAGGAATAAAGGAAGTTGGATTTTCCCATGTTTTCCTATATTAGCTCAACAGCTGCATTTAGTCTAAAGACAACAGGTCTAATTGTTCATGAAATTATCAAAAGGTAGAAATTTTCCTTTTTTAATACTATTCTGCCCTCAAACATCCTGACAGCAACCTTCCAGGATTTAAAATGTGCCAATAACAGGCACAGATGACCTGTGACAGATATTATTAATGTCACCATCAGATCAAGCGAGCTATGATAAACTAGACTCGTTTTTCCAAACTTTCTAAAATATTATCTTTCTAGATAACTGAAGCTAAGTACATGCATCATGTAAGTAATTTAATTAACACTAACTTAATAACTTTCAGCCAGTTACATTCCGCCCCAAACAAAGCTTCTTGTTGCATCCACTACCCGACTGCAAACATGAAAAAAAACACCCAAAAATGAACGTCGCGTATGCGGCAATGCATTAACTTGTAATTCAAGCTGATGACCCATGCGGTATTTAAAAACATGACCCAACATAACCTTAGAATTGTTAATAAAAAATGACACAGCATCTTCGTACTGCTGCTGGAGTCACAGCTGTTAGCTTATCCGTTAGCCAACATGCTAGCTGTACCTGTCTGGAGAGTCTAGGCTGCTCGGAGCCGTTGAGCAGCGGTGTCCCCTCCCCGGCTGGCCCGGACTCGTCGGCTCGGCTGGACCACGACACTTTCTTGGTGATATTGGCCATGGTGGCGTCCGGTAGCTTGCCTTTCTAACTGTCACTAAATTATTTAATTAACAGCAGTTTTTGCTGGCTAACTATTATTTCCCATCTCCCCATGATCATCTGTGTAACTCGTGACGCTTTGTAAGGATCGCATGCAGGGCCAAAAATAATTGTTTGGCGCGTTGCATGTTGGGATTTGTAGTTTTGCTGTTTACGGGCTAAAACTGAAGCGTGTACAAAGACATCAGTGCCTTTCTTCACCAGTGGTGGAAGAAGTATTCAAATCCTTTATTCATGTAAGAGTATTATTAGAAAAATAATTTGTAGTAGTAAAAACAAAAGGTAGGCCTACTCATATTTAGGAAAAATGCTTCCTATAGTGTTATTTTTCTATACTGTATGATATGATAATGTGTAAGTGCCACTTTTGTGCTCCAGAGTATTTTTTAATTTGTGCAAATAAAAAATAACCTGATTAATTAAAACAACCCAAATCCAAACAATTAAATCATTCATCATTCATTTGGTGGAGTTTTACTGAGTTTAAGTTTATTCATATAAACATGAGCTTTTACTAACAATCCAAAAGACAACAAACAGGCGCTGTATCTCTGTCTGTAGTCATACAGTGACTATCAAAAGTTCAAATTCAAGAACAGGCAAGAAACAAAGTGCAGCATCGTTTTCACATGAAAGTAATGGACTTACACATCACAGTTACAAGCACAATTTTATCTTACTAATAGGTATCATTCTAGGATCCGTTGTAATGTTTATCAGTTGGCCTGTGAATTAAATTAAGCTTATTATTGCACATAAATCAATGTGAACTTAAGCGTTGCCCAGTTGCTCCAATCCCAGTTTTTACCCCATAAAGTATCCCTGAGCAAGACACTGCCCTGTTAATAATTCTTTATTGTGAATTGCTGGTGTTATGAATACAAGCTTATAGCATGCTGGAGTTTTTTGTCCAGGTGAGTAAAGATGTTTTTGCTCTGTCTTTAAGTCCAATGAGAGTGCACTTGTGGTGCATGCTCATCCGAGGACTCAAATATAAAAAATAGAATAAAATCTAAAATAAAAGTTATTTTTATTTTGCCTCTTCATTTGAATCCTCCTCCAAAACTTTATCAGACACAGTGCTCCAAACATTCACATGCCACCTGCTGCACCTCCCCATGAACCTCCTTTATATCCTCCATGTCGAGCACCACCCCTCTGGGCACACCTCTCCCATCTGCCACCCCTTCAACCTCCGGTGGGCTCAGCACCCGGTTCCATACCCTGAACCCTGCTACCTGCCCTGCAAAACCCTCTGAGGCGTCAAACCCTCCACCAACAGAGTCCTGCTCCTGCCCCAGCACCACAGATCCACCTCCTGGAATCTCCCAGCCCTTCCTGAAGTTGGAGCCTGATGAGGTGAGACGACGGTCACTGTAGTGCCAGAAACGACCCTGGATGGAGGACCAGAGGACGCAGAGGTGGTGCCAGCGAGAGTCCAGAAGTAATGATGTGGGGAGACGGCGATATACAGGGTCTCCAATGACAAAGTCCAGAGAGGGCGAAAAAGCAGAACGGTAGGAATCCGGTGCGAATGGAGAAGAGGAGTAGGAGGGGTGGGAAGATGAAGAAGAAGCAGAGAAGGACGTAGATGAGGCAGAGGAGTTACGCCCATACAAAACTAACTGGTTGTCATTGTCATCTGTGGCATAGGAGAGCAGTGTGCCAACATGTGAGGCCTCCACACGGAGCCACAGACACACAGAAAGTTCAGGAAGGTCAGGGAGAGTCAGAGCAAAGGTGACATAGTTCTCCGCTGATGCAGAGGGGAAAAACAGCATGGAGTCCACGTTACAGACTGCAGACAGAGGGAGAGAGAAGATATAACATCAAACCTAGCAAACCAATGAAACTACATAATGCACCCACCCAGACAACACATAATAAAAAGGAATGAAGCGTAAAACAGTTTAGGAAGTATGTGCTCAGACTGTGAAAGCCTCTACTACGTCTAAAAGGGGTTACAGATGTTATTCAGTGTGAATGTAGAAAAAGTAAATGGATTTTTCAGATGAGAGCAGAACTCCACATTCAACTCCCAGCTGACGAACCCTCAGTGAACCACTCAACACCTCTTTCTCTGTGTGTCTCTGTCTGTCTTCAGTGATGTATAAGTGAGTGGGTGTTATAATGTGGGCTATGAGACAACTTGCAAATATATGAAGAGGAGCTTTTGGGTCTGCTGTTGTATGCAAGATAACCCTTGATTCAAGTTATCTGACATGTAGGAACTAGAAACCTGATACAGCTTGTTTCTCACCATTATATAGTAAATGTAATCCTTTTCTGATCAGATTCAATATCTCGCTCTATTTTGGTCGAACACATTAGCGTACTGACTTTTACTTACTGGTTGCATCCTTTTTAGGAACTGGCCTTGCTGGGATCTTGTGCCTCACAGGAAGCTGGAGGAAGTTATGGATCACTGAAGTCTCTACCTTGGTGTCGCTTACGTCCTCATCTTGGCTTTTCAACCTGCTAGCCCTGGGCTGATAAGACTCAGACTGGGGATGAGGGAGAACATCTGAGGCCTGGGGCTCAGGAGCCCCTAGTCTGGTCCTGCTCTGCCTGTCTTTGGTGGGTCCAGGATGAGTTTGAGCCTGGGACGGGGGCTGGGGCCAAGAGGAATAATTGGGGTTGTCTAACTGGGGGTGTCTCTGAGGTTGTAACTGAGGCTTGAGTGGTTGTTGGTCCTGGGGCTGGATCTGGGCATGACGAGAAGACACAGACTGGTGAGACTGGAGCTGTTCCTGCTGGATCGGGTGAGGCCACGTCTGGGCCCGCATCTGGATCTGTGACTGAGAGCGGTACGCATCAGGCTGGGGCAGGTAATCTGTGGACTGGGGTTTAGGGTTTGGATATTGGTCTTGTATCTGTGGAGGAGAGTCCGGCCGAGGTCTTGACCTCTGGGCCTTTGAATGTTTCGGCCGGTTTGTTGCGTGGTATTGATCCAGTCTTGGTTGATCAGTCTTGGCTTGACTGCTTCCTTCTGGTCTGGGTTGTGTATGTCCACCCAGAATCCTTCCAGGCCTCCCTCCTCTGTGGGTCTGGGCTCTCCTGCGTGTTTCATAGTACTCTTGTGGTGTGATGTTGGAGCTGAGAGGTTCTCCCACCCTCACAGAACTCCTGATGTTCCCTGCTCCATTCCACTGCAGGACCTCACCGAGCTGTCCCTCGAGTCGGGTTACACGCAGCACCTGGTTTTTCAGGGATTCCTGCAACCCCTTCAGCCCCATTAACAGCTCATCACGCTGGGCTTGAAGGGCAGCCAGCCTTTCCTCCTGGCTCTGGAGCTCCAGGGTAAGGTTGGAGAAGTCCTGACCAAGATCAAGCTTCTCTCTCTGACGGCGGTTCTCCCTCAGGTTCCTCTCCATCAAAGCCAGACGACCCTCCATCCGCTTACTCTTTTTCTCAAGCTTCCTACTCCACTCCCTGGGATGATGAACAACATAAGAATGTTTTCCTTTAATTCATGTGTTACTCGTAATACTTTTTTTTTGTTTTGCCATGCACATTATGAGTAAAGTTTGTCAGTCGTAATGATGTTTATGGAACTAACATAATGTATATGCCGTATATTGACATATCTGGAAAATATGATGTTGGATGCATCATGTTGGATGGATGCATTTTAAACATATCGCCACAGAGTAGATTTTTTAAATATGGAAAATACTGAATTACTTTAGTTGTATAAGGAGGAATGTTGTCCAAAAGCTGCTCTGTTAATCATTACTCTCATCCCCCAACAAGAACAGATGCTAAAAGGAAGAGCCACCCACTCAACATTTCAGATATCCCAACATAAGATGTTTTTGAAGTAATGTCGCGACCCACGTCACAGCGCAAGTAGCAATTTTGTCAGATTTAACATGCCGAGGATATAATCCCTGTCTTTTTATGAACTGGACTACAGTAAACTGGACAGTACTCAAATTGCCCTCTCTCTGCTCTTAACTCTCTGCTTTCCAGAAAACCTTTACTTGCCAAATAAAACCAGTATGCAGGAGTTCGTCACATCTGTAGTGAGTGATTTTCCTCCAGCTCTAACCTGAGACCCTCTATCTCCTGCGTTGTGCTCTGCTTTAGGTGCTCAAGGTCCTGTGACATGTGGTGGTAATGGTCATTCAGATCTTGAACGCGGCTCTCCAGCCCCGGTGAGGAGTTCCTGTTCTGGTTCAGGGCCAACATGTCCAAACGGGCCTGGGTCAGCGCCTGGAACTGCTGGAACTGATCAAAGAAGAAATGGATTTCTGCAGCTGTTTGGTAACTGATTTGAAGGTCAGGAAAATATTCAAAATCTTCAGAAGAAAAAAAACATACATGTGTGTGATGACTTTATACCTTGAACGATCAGTACTTTTAAATGACTAACTTGTCTGGGAGCAGTACAAAAACAGAGAGGGGCAGGGCAGACATGACTAAATGTTTTGTTAGTTTCATAAATCCAAAATTAAGTCCAATACCTCAGTGTTTTGGAGATTTAATTAATAAGAGTTCCCAATGTGAGGTAATAAAGTCTTTGGATCTGTAGCTCCTATCTATCATTCTATCATTTTATCATAAAATTTCATCTTTCTACATTTATTGTTTTGCTGTTTTTTGTTTTACTAAAATACCATTTTTTAAAATTGAAAGTGTCCTTAGAGTTAAGACATTAATCCCAAGGAGTGCACAGGTTTGGTTTTATTATGAAATTGGAGTGCATTTTAATTTCCACTTCTATTATAATGGGATATAAACACATATAGTAATTCATTGGAAAAACTTGAAATAAACCCAGCAATTGCAGAGAGCCACCTTTTTGCAGAGGGGTCAGATAATCAGCTATGACACACTTAAACTGATGTAGCACCAACTGTTCGGTCAATATCACAACTGCTACTGTAATAACTTGGCATCACTGAAAAAAGTAACAGTATGATAATAGCATAGCATAGTCTTGTTAATCTAATAAAAAATCCCATTACACTGATGAAGGTTAACTATTGTAAACACACACATACACAGTCTGATTCAAGCCGACCTGTTCGTTGAGCCGTCGTAGTTTCTGGGACACAAGATCAATTCCCTGCACCTTTCCGCACTGAAGCTGCGGCAGAAGCATGTGAACCAGGATCAGGGGCCAGTGGCCGGTCTTGAGGCTGCCCATGGTGCAGTAGAGCTGGGATAAAAAACAGCCGGGAGCTTGGGTTCCTGTGTGGAAGTGTGGAGGTGAAGCAACAAATAGAGGAGAGAAAGAAGTACACACACACACTATAAACTCCCACAGACTGGGACAAAAACACACTTTCCATTTTCCACAACATCATTGGGGAGCTGAGAGGACATGCAGATGGATTTAACAGATACTCACCCTCGCCGTCTCATTCTCCTACACAAATTTACACAAAGAAAAGAGAAGTAAACTGTTCAAATCACTCCAGCAATTAATGTTCACCATTTTATTCTAATGCAGAATAATAAAAGCACATTCCTAAATCCTTCTTTAAGGATGTCCATGTTTTCTATGTTATGTTATTTCTCTACTGCATCACCACCTGGATTTGTTTTCCTTGAATTTTTTATTGATACTTATACTTATACTTTTATAAAGTATAAGACTTTCATGACCTTTCATGACCTTCCAAATGATTGCTCCATATTGGTCAGTAAAAGTGGGAAAAGGGAAGTTCTGTCACAGATCATAACTTTAACAAACTAAAATAGCTGACAACATGGTGTCACTAAATACTGTAACATGCTCTCAGTTTCCCTCAACTCAATAAATGCGTAGGCTTTTATTTGTGTGGTGCTGTAAGATTTCGGTACATCTCATGATGAGTGGGCTGAGGGGGGAAGCAGCCTGTACTTTCCTCTCCCCTGACTCCACTGACAGGGGATCTGACTGTCGTCTTCTTCTGCTTTCCCTCTGTATGGCTCAATCCAAGAATCATGTTGTTACCTCTCTTCTGCTTTCTGCTCATGACATTGTACAACACCGTGGCTTCATCTACACTGGACTTTGAAAGTGAACTATTGAGGGCAGAAAGTAACATGTATCTGTAAGCTGTTTCAATGAGAATCTGACCAATCTTTTTTTGCAAAGCCAATGTAGATTCATTTGAACATCCACGAACAGCTGATATTTTGGGTACAGTTTTTATTTTGTGCAATCATTCATCATTTCTCTAGAAAAGCAACTAAAACTCTACCCAAAAATTTACTGAACATACTATACTAAATCATCAGTTTTTCATTGATTTATCATTAATGAAAAGAAAGAAAAGAAAAATGTAAGAGCAATTGTGAGAGCAATGTATTTAAGATGTTCAATAATTCAAACCATGAATGTTTCACTTGTGAAAGTCCAGTGTAAACACAGTTTCCAGTTTCGTTTTCATTATGACAGTTTTTTATCTGTCAGCCTGGAAAATCCACAAGTGCACATTGCCCACAGGAAGATAAAGCTTAATACTTGAGCAGGGTGGATACGACTGCTCTTAAGCAAAAAAGTCTTTGGATTGAAACAGCCTGCTTCCTTTTTTCTTGCCTGCCTGTAAACAAGACTCACCTGTGCTGCAAGCTTCATTATGGTCAAGATTCATTGGAACAGGATGGACATTGATTTCTTTTCATCTCGAAGTGTTTTTTAGCGAATAACATTTTGTTTAATTTTAGAAATATTTCATTTTTCTTGAGGACGAGGAACAAATAGTAAATACGTTAAACAGATTATATAAATCGGACACTTTGATAAAGGCTGCTGTCATCATGTCAGGACACATGAATGAAGAGACTCCACTGCTGAACAGAAGACTAACATCATCTGAATCCCAGGTTGGAAACATTTCACTAATTGTAATTCACCTAAAAGTCCTAACAATAGCTCGTTGATTCAGTTTGTCATTGTTTAATTTAAGACATTATGAACAAAAAAGACAAATTCCTCATCTCTTGTTTATATGTTAGGATTAGAACCTAACATATTGTTTTGTGGTGTGAAGTTTTATGCTCAGTAGCCATGTTTCTTTTTTTTTTGTTTTGTTTGAATTGATGGCAAATTAGTTCTAAGATAGTCAAGCCAGCTTTGTGCAACAGATGAATTTAGACATCTGTGTGAGGACTGCCAGTTAGATTTAAGCCATAATTAAAATCTGTCTTTATGAAATTGGCCCTTGATTGTCAAAAACCCAAATAGTTGATTTATTTACACAGTGCAACACACATGTAATCCAAAAGTGAAAAGAAAACAACAGACTTGCAAACTTGGCTTGACTGAGGAACAACTGCATGAACTAAAGGCATGATCATGTGCACACAGCTGCGCAGACTTCCTTCCCTCCCCCATGACAAACAATAGTTCTCTTAATCAAGCCCTAAAATCTTCAGCACACGTCCCGACACCTAAAGCAGGTAAATGACAAATGTTTCTTGCATTAGTTTAAATCATTTGTACAAAAAGACTTTCAACGTTATTCACCATTTGGCAGGAAAAGCTCTATAATCAGTAGAAAACAAATTCTAATTAACATGACATTAAAACAAGACTGCACAATTCAACATGACTTTTGTTTAGAATAGTGTAATTTATAGTTCTCCCCTTTTCTTTATCTCACTTAAGTGCTGCACAGAGTAATACTTGCTGTGAAGTTTTTCATTTCCCTGAGACCTCTTGTCACTCATGCAGACAATACTGTGTGTAAACCCAAAACACACATCACCTCCTCTCTCTACAGGATGAGCTCACTGGACAACACTTCCAAAAGCCAAGTGCACATATTTATGAATTTATTTCATTTATTTCTGTGAAAAGAACTTCAGTATTTACTCTTATCTTAAAGAAAGGATTTTTGCCCTATGCTCAATATTTGTGCAGGTTATCTTCTTATTTCTAAATCATCCATATCCGTTTTTCCCAGATCAAAAACTCCAAACTGTTCCTGGCCGTTTTCTCGGCCGTCCTGGGGAACTTCAGCTTCGGTTACTCCCTGGTCTTCTCGTCCCCCGTGCTGCCACAGCTCAAGAGTCCTGATGCTGACCCTCGGCTCAGGATGGACACAGAGAAGGCCGCGTGGTTCGGCTCAATCTATTCACTGGGTGCAGCGGCCGGAGGGCTGGGGGCAATGCTGCTCAACGACATGGTTGGGCGCAAGCTGAGCATCATGATGTCAGCAGTGCCGTCGACTATTGGGTGGGTCAAAGAAACAGCATACAGGCATCATTATCTGCTATACTTCTACTGCATTACATTTCATGTTATACTTTTTATTCCACTACATTTGTTTGACAGCTGTAGCTACCAGTTACTTTCCAAATTGTTTTCAATTACCACATATAGATCTCTAGTGAGGTGAATGTTTTGTGTGGCTATTCTGGGAATAACATGTCACCAAACTCTATTAAGTAATAAAAATGATAACACAGTAAGTAGTCCCGCCCTAACAGGTACAATTAGAATGGCACTCAGAGGAGCATATACCTCCGCCAAGGCCAAGCAATCCTACACATGCCTGTGAGATTATTATTCAGATCTACACTAAACTGAACCAATTTGCACAGAACATGTTGGTGCAGATGTGGTTACTGCACTACATGATTAAAGCAAAGAGTTTTGCAGAGGGAGGCATTCATTAATGGTATCTATTTAACTGTACCCTGCGGTGCAAAAACCACAGAATGCTATAATTTATTCAAAAGTGCACACACAGCAGTAAAAACATCATGCCTTTGAAATCATTGAGCCTGCATGTACTATTTTTTTCTTGTCATCTGTATATGTGTCTTAGATACATGCTGATGGGAGGGGCTGTGGACTTGTGGATGCTCCTTGTTGGTCGCTTCCTTACAGGTGTCGCCGGTGGGATGACAGCGGCATCCATTCCTGTAGGTCACCATGGTTACAGATACAAAATTGCACACGTATACGTGATTTACGCTTGTGTTCATGTTACTGTTTGTGTGTCTTTTGTGTGTTTATGTCATAGGTTTACATCTCAGAGATCTCCCACAAAGGAGTGAGAGGAGCTCTGGGCTCCTGCCCTCAGGTCACTGCTGTGTTTGGGACCCTGGCGCTCTACGCCCTGAGTAAGAATATACCAACACGGCTGCATTAATACCATTACTAAAAGTAACATTAATTTTTTACACATTTAGCGGCTCAGTGTTTTCCTTAGACACAGGTTTGATGGCTGTAAGTTGACACAGTGGCAAAGATGTGAGAATCAACAATTAAGTTGAAGTTAATAGACACAAATAGACTAATAATAGACTAATGGATAATATTGAGTCATTACACATGCTGTGATATTTTTAGTGGCAACAGCCACTGCTTTTCTGCTTTGTTGCTCATGCTATCATAATCTCAACATGACGATGTGATGTGATGTACAGGTCTAGTGGTTCCGTGGCGGTGGCTGGCAATAGCCGGGGAGGTGCCAGCTCTGTTGATGGTTGTGCTGCTTGTGTTCATGCCCTCCTCTCCCAGGAGGCTCCTCTCCTTGGGGCGAGAGCAGCAGGCTGAGAGAGCCCTCCGCTGGCTGAGGGGGAGTCACTACGACACACAAATCGAGCTCAGTGCCATACAAGTAAGAGACAGGCAGCTGCTGGAATGTTTTTAACAACTTAAAGGGGACAATTCTATCGACTTGAGGAGATCAGCTAAAGATGCACTGAGGTTTTACGGGGAACACACATGTGGTTTACATACTAGAGGAGTTTTAAAGTAAATATAAACTAGTACATGTATGTGAGTTTTATATTTCTACCAATGCAGCACAGCATCAACACACAGAGTAGAGTCACATGGTCCCAGCTTGCCACACCCGTCTACTACCGGCCAATCATTATCTCAGTGGTGATGCGTTTCCTGCAGCAAATGACGGGCGTCACACCCATTCTGGTCTACATGGAGCCCATCTTTGCCAAGAGCAAAGTTTCCCTGGCGCCTAAGTATGAGATATAACCTATTTAACTGTATTTATCTATTATCTAATTATATTATCTATCGAATACAGACCTATACTCATTTTGTATCTGTCAGGTATGATGCTGCCATTGTAGGTGCCGTCCGCCTCTTTTCTGTTGCCGTGGCAGCCAGTCTGATGGACAAGGCTGGACGCAAAGCCCTACTGTACACGTCAAGCATGCTGATGTTCCTGTCCACTCTGACTCTGACCATGATCTCCCACACCACGCCCTGCCCTCC